GGAGGGGGTGAAGGGAGGGCAAGGGAAGGGGAAAAAATAAGAACCAAGGTACATCATGTAATGGTACAAGATCCCAGTGATGAATGTAACTGTATTTTATACTGAAAATGTACCAATAAACTTAATGGGGGAAAACAAAAAGAGGGGACAAGGGTTTAGCTGGATGGATGGATGGATGCCTTCTGAGAAAATGCTTTTCCTCAAGGTGCTGGGAAGATAGCGATTATTATTACTGTTTATTATTATAACTTTGGGGGCTCTGAGGTTTAACTTTCAGACGCTCTCTTGGTTAATGTTTGCAGTAACAATTGTGGCATAGTATTATACCCATTTTATTAAAGAGGAAATGAGATCAGAGAGTCTCTGGCAAGCACTCAATGCCCACTAACACAGAGGCTATGCAGGTCTTCTCACCCCACAAGGAACCCCCCTTACTTAGTTGGACCCTTGTTTCCACTTGGTTCTTCACCAGTTGCTCCTTCTGGTTGATCTGAGCAGAGTGAACTTATTTTAAGCCTGAGGTGGGTCAGAGCCACAGCTGAAAGGGAGTACTGGACTCTGCAAGCCCTTGGGGAGTGTTGTCATTAGTTAGAGTAGCATCTTCCATAAGATCAAGCAACAACCCATATATGCAGCTGCATTCAGGAAATATTTCAAAAAAACAAATTACAAAATTTGAACCTAGAAACTGAAAACCATATGATTTGATGGGGAGGAAGAAGAGCTTGATGCAGTTGTGCTGAGCCCAGAAAGGACAGTTGCAGGGCTACCCACGCAGTGCATCCCTACCTCCGGGGCGATGTAGTCAGGAGTCCCGCAGAAAGTGTTGGTCCTTGCATCTCCTAACATGTTCTCCTTGCACATTCCAAAGTCTGCTATTTTGATGTGTCCATCTTTGTCTAGCAGGATATTATCTAGCTTCAGGTCCCTAAAACAAAAGCAAAGCTAAGTCCCACTTCAATAAATGCAACTAGAAGAACACTGTCATGAGGACAAGGTAGCTAGTCTCAGCATGGCCTAAGAGGGTGCACAAAGGGGAGATTTACTGGCCTTCTTCCTCCTCACCACCTTGATCTTCAGACCACAGGCCTATTCAGCTCGCCCTCTGCTCACTGCTCTTTGGTGTTCACTCCTGGACCCACTGCTCATGCTCAGGTGTTTCCTTCCAGCTGCCTTGGGCCTGACCTTCCGACAGACTTCTGTCTTGCATGCCCTGCTCAGCAATTGATGCATCTCTGGAGCTCAATATATATTTCCTGTAAGCATGACTTGGCTAGTGAGAGAGTGTACACATATTGGGTCATCTCCTGAGCAGAGCATCCTTCAGTTTTAAGAGGGGGCTTTCAAAAACAGTGTCTAGTTGTAATGAGAGGGCTAACAGTGCAATGCTTCTTGGGCTGATGATGCATTTGGTAAGGTCTAATGCCGTACAACATGTACACAGGTCCATTGCTACAAAATGTGCGTAGAAAAAGCTCATTCCTCAAGGCACTGGTTGCTGCTGCTGATTTTCTTTCTGATTTATGAAGGACTACAACTCTATATAAGGGGGACAGATCACCAATGTTTAACCCAGTACCTTTTCTGGAGGTAATGATGGAGTGGAAAAGGCCTAAAAATACACTTACATTATGCCATTTTCTACCATGGTTCTCTTTGTTTCTTTGTGAATAAATTGTACTGCACCTAACTCCAGTCTAGTTGAACAATGTTGTTCCTGACCAATGAAGAACCACTCTAGACCCAGAAACCCCCAATAACAGAATATCCCAATAATAGGATATGAGGTCAATACATTTTTCTTTCCTTAGAGAACCAATATCCTCTTAAAATAGCCCATTCTATTCTCAGGTAAATGTAACTCATAATTTAAAAAAAATAAATCAGCCATGCTTTGCTTTTCTGTGATTTTACCCACTTGTCTTTATATAAAGTATTTCTATTACATACTATACCCTAGATATTTGAAAATGACATCAAGTTTTTTCTCATTTTTCCTTCATTAAGCTCAGGGACTTTGTTACTCATATAGTGTAGTTTTTGGACCCTCCAAATATCCAGAATTTATCAGTTTTCTTCCTGAGAGGTGTTGCTCAAAGTGGAACCAATGTTCTCCAGATAGATGATGTGACTGGTGCAGACTCAGTGACACAATCAGCTCCTCTTAGGATCTTCTGTCCTTTTGCTGTAGTGGCCTAAGATATTGCCCTTGTTTTAGGAACATTATCATAACGATGGTTAATGGTGAGTTTATTGTAAACCAAAACCTTCAAGTATTTTTTCTACACAAACTGACACTATCCCAGTTTATTATGCTGCATCTGCAAAATTGACTTTTTAAAGATAATTCAAGCACTTCACTTGTTATTAATTTTAAATGTTTTTATCTTGTTGATTTTAGCAATGAAATTTTACAAATTCTAGTTTGTCATATAACATCCAGCTTTCTTTGAATAGCTGAGCTTTCTGAGATTTATTTCTTTACATCTAGGACCTGTGGCTATAATGGAGACCACTGTTTTCTTTGGGTAGCTAAGATGACTTGGACAGGAGTAGGAACAGCCATTGTTCTTATCCTTTGCTGGACTTCTTAGATGAAGACTTGCTCAGGCTCTTTTCTTGAACATTCTCCTCCCAAAGGTCAAGTAAGCAATATTTAGTGGGTTGGCTCAAGTGGATCATTTACTTTTCTCTGTTTTTGAATCTTCAAATTGTGATATGTTATCCTTATGTGACTTGTTCAGGTATCAGAGCTGCTATGGCACTTCCTTGAGCATGCCCTTTGATAAAATTGGCTGCATTCAAGGTGGTATGGCTGTGGATTCTTGTATGTCCTTGGAGAAAGGAAGACTAGTTTATAAAAGAAGAAACAAGTGAAGTGGTCAGGCCAAAAGCAGAAACAAAGGCCATGCAAGTCTTAAGAGAAATGAAAATGACAGGTGAGATGCTGCCCTAGTTTTTGAATGGTCTATCTTCTTGCTTCCAGTTTCTTAATGAAACCTAACTTTTGTTTATGCAGGTTTATGCTACTGGACATCAATATTAATGTTCTTCTAAAGTTCTTACTTCTATTTGTCTTTCTCGTTCGTTAAACTGGAAGCTTCATGAGGATGGACATATGTATTGTTTGTTATTTGTTATAATGTGATAACTCTGATAACAATATCATGTGCACTGAGCACTCAATAATCTTTTTGGAATTAATTAACCACTCACCAATAATTACCATTTGCAAAGAATGTTCCCCTTAATTATTTTCTCCACTTTTTGTGAGAGTAAGTTAGCCAGAGAAATTGAGAGCAGAACATAGTTGTTTTGGTGGAGTTGATGTTTTCCATCTGGACGAGCCCATTATCAATGCATCATCAATAGCTTCTGTCTGCCTGGGAGACCAAGAGTGTATCTCACATTCGTATCAGTTCTGTTTCTCTACTGTCTAACTCAAATGCTGTCACACCTACATAACCATCAGGACTAAAGATGTTAAATACACAGTTTCAGTGTGACTTATGAATTATATTCCAGTAAACCCATAGTCTAGGTTATGTTTATCTTCTTAAGCTAAAATCTCAGGTTCATTATCTGGTACATATACTTAGCTAAACTGATAACATTTTGGTTTTTTTCATATGAAATTTTTGTGTAATTTATAGCCACATACATATGTTTCTAAAATTTTGGCTGAAGGATGGTTTTGGAGTCATCTCTAGGGAGCCAGATCTCTAATTCTGGTGATATACATAGATCATAAAAATAATGAACATAATATTTGACATTTATATTTTGTTTTCTTGTTTGTATGTGCATTTTATTATTTGATTCTTTTTTTTAGGGGGGTACCAGGGATCGAACTCTGGACCTTGCGCTTGCGAGGTCAGCGCCAGAACCACTGAGCTAAATCCCCAGCCCTATTATTTGAATCTTACAACAGAACTTTAATCTCAAATTATTGTTTTTATTAATAGTTTTTTTTTGATGAGAAAACAAAAGCCCTTGGAAGTGGTGGGATTTATCCCAGACCACATAGCCAGTCTGTGGGCGAGGACACAAAACCAGTCTTTATCTTCTCTTCCATCCTTTTGTACTAAACTCACCTGGTCTTATTCATCAAACTGGTTTTGCTGAAATTACAAGTATACATTTTAACTGATTCTAAAAATAAATGTTCTTTAGGCCTCAGGCTAGGAATAATAAACTTTGAGTCAACTTTTCAATCTAAAGGAGGCCAAATGTGTTTGGGACCATGAGAAAGAAGGTCACTGAAGCTTTAAGAGATCTAAGTTGGAATAGGAAAGGTCCAGAAAAGGTTACCTTGCAAAGCCAGACCTGTGCAGGGAGAAGAATGAGGACAGAAGAAGACTAGCTGGGTTCTCTGGAGCAGACTGGAGATGCCAAAGGCACAGAATGTTCTGAGGCACGCCATGCTGGTTATTTCTCACTGTACCCCGTAGGACACCAGGACTGAGATAAGAATTCAGAGTCCAAGGCCCTGGTTTTTCCTTGTAAACATCTGTCTGCTTACTTGTAACAAAATTATGTGGAAGTCTCTCATTCTGTTGTGTGGTCAGCATAAGTGAAGCTCTTCGTTCAGGACAGGCAGCATGGGAGGTTAACCCGGCTTTATGGCTGACTCACGCAGCTACATCACCTTCCCTCTCCAAGGAGTCTCCAGTTACTCCCATGAAATGGGGTCAGTGGTGCCTGCTTGCTTGTCTCCTTGTGACATCAAAGGAAACAATTCTTCTGAAAACATGGCTTCAGATACATGAGTTGGGCAGCTTATCACCAGTGTTATGGTTTGGGTCTAGATGTCCCTCCAAAGCCTCATGAGGTCATAGGCTTAATCTAGAGTGTGTGAAGCTGGAATTAATTGATGATGCAATGCTAGGCTCAAGGGCACTAGAATTAAGGATGTGAGTGTTACATTCCTTAAGAAATCTGAATAACATAAAAGGGGCAGGGAAGTGCCCTTAAAGCTTTCCCTTGTTGACTTTGCTACTGTGTGCGCACTATGTTGTTTCTCCTCTTCGAGGCCTGTTTGTCCTCCCAGCCTCGGAGCCAGCCAACTATGGACTGAAACATCTATGAACTGTAAGCCAAATAAACCCCTTTCCCTTTAACTTCTGGTGCTAGGTATTATGTCTCAGTAATGAGAGAAAAGTAGCCAACACAACCAGTAAAATCTAATCTTAAATTGTCTTTCAGTTTTAATAGTCTAAGATACAAGGTTTTAGATTCTTCTCTTTTCCATCTGAATGCTTTCCAGGTCCACATTTTTACATTTAACCCAAACCAAGGCTTATGACAGTGGCTTGAAAAAGCCACTGCCTTTACAGTTCCACTAGCAAGTGGTGAAAGCGTGTGATGTCGCACGGCTTCTCTATCTCCCAGGCCTCAGATCTTGTGACTGTCCAACAACAGGCTTTCAGTTAAACCTAGAGACCTTCATTTAGTATTCTTCCATTTGTCCTTCTCATTGATATTTCTGTGTTTCCGCTGGAGTCACTTCTTCCATTTTCAAAGCCTCTCTCCCTTAAAAAATTTACCTTCTGCTAGGAAGGTAAATTTTTGTTGTAATATTCCTTTCCACTACTTAGTTTTGAAGAGGTCTTTTCTTCTCTCTGCAATTGCATTTTAATTATAAAAGAATACACTGTTTATGTCTCTTCATGTAATCCTACCTCATATTAACTCCAGAAGGTGGCTTCTGGGGTTTGGGACCTCTACATATTTTGTGCCCATCACAATGCTTAACAAAGGGCTGTAATTCAGTAGACAATTTATAATACCAGTTGTGGAGGATTGGATGGGGTCCCCAAAAGATATCTCTATGTCCAAATCCCCAGAACTCTGTGAATGGGATTTAATTTAGAGAAGATGTCTTTGCAGATATAATTAAGGATTTCAAAAGACGATCATCCTGGGTTGTCTCTGTGTGTGGGTTAAATCTGACTAGTGTTGGTCTACATGCACAGAGAAGGTCATACATGAGATGGAGGAAGAGACTGGCATATGCAGCCACAGCAAGGAGTGCCAGAAACCAACAGAGGCTGGGCGAGGCAAGGAAGGGGCCTCCAGAGCCTTTGGTGGAAGTGTGACTCTGCCAGCACCTTGATTTCAGAGTTTTGGTCTCTAGAACAGTGATAGAATACTTTTGCTTCTTTAAGCCAACAAATAGGTGTTAAAGTAATAGCAGCCCTTCAAAACTAATATATCAGTTTTGTGAGCAAAAATCATAATTGTAAGTAATCAAAAGAAGGAAATTAATAAAACATTTGTTTGCTCAGTTCTTAAATTAAAAATTTAGTTCAAATTATACACAAGCAGCAGAACAATGTCTTACAGCAAGTCAATCTCCACACCAGCAGCACTGAAGCTCTGCTATCAACCTGTCTCTGTGGAGCTTGCTGTCTGCAACAATCAGTACACAACATAGGATAGATGACTATCCTCAATTTTAACTATTTGATGACACCTTTCAAAAATCCCCTACAACTTTATGATCATGTTAAATAAACTCAGTGTTTTGTCCAATTGGTGCAGAAGGAGACTTAAAGAGCATGATTTCCATGCGTGGGCTGAGTAAGAGCTCTAAAATGGGCATGTGTTGATTGTGATAGTAATGCTACTTATGGACCTTCACTGGTCTTTTTTGTTGTATGCGCCCAGAAATTTACAAGATGGTATGATAGAAAGAAGCACTGGGGTATGGAAGAACAGATATGGATGAGGGAGGTGCCTTTCAACTTTTAGATCTCTGTCTCTCTTGCTAATCTTTTTTATTTTTCATATGCCTCCCTCCCTCCCTCCCATTCATCCATCCATCCATCCGTCCCATACAACCTACTCAGAACCCAGATAAAAGTATATTTTAGATATTCACAGTCATTATAGGCATATAGAGAAAAATTTAAAACCTATGAATCCCGCTCAAGCTGAGTTTCAATTTTCTGGAGATTAAAAATGATATAAAACACCTCCATGATCTACTATTTTATAGACAGATTTGTAAATATATCTCTATATCTATCTCTATATAAAAACCTGTTTAAGAAGCTTGACTTCCCAAACCTTCCCTGTGTCTTCAGTTCTGTGATGCTAACTACAGTAGCCTCACTCACTCAGGAAGCCTCTGGAAATGCAGGGGTCCTTCCCCCTTAAGAGAATTTTCCAGATAATGGCAGCATACACTGTAAGCACCAAAGGTTCAATGTTATCCAACTCTCTATGCAGCTTGCTGTTTCAACAATCTGAGTGGAACACAATGGAACTTTTATTGGTGACTCCAGGTCATTATGAGTCTGTCACAGGAGAAGTCTCTCTGAGTTTTCAGCAGCTTAGCCAGCCTCCTCTCCGGCTCCTTTCTTTTTCTTTTGTTCCTTCCTCTAATCTACAGTGAGCTGGAAACCTGACAACTAAGCTTTTGAAGATTTGTATGTTAAGTAAGTGTCAACTGTGTTTTGAGAAAAGAAGAAAGAAGACTGGAGTACAGCAGCTTTTATCTGAGGGTTTTGGCAGCAGAGCATGAAATGATATCGTAGAATAGAGAAATTTTGGATTCATGAAAGAGGACACCAGAGGTGTTCTGTGCACTTCTATAAGGTATAGAACAGAAGGTTTTCGTGGGTATGTGTGTCCCAGAATTCACTTCCCCAACCAAAAGGAGAATATTTCACATTGAGGATGGAATGATCAAAATATGTTCTCTGTATGTATGAGCAAAATCAAGAGGTATCAAGGGGACAGATGAGAGAGCCAACAAGAATAAGCTATGAGAGAGAAAGGAGAGTGGTGGAAAGAAATGAGAGAAAGGAGGTGAATGGGATCAGCATAAGGAACAAAATCAGATTAGAACCTTCTTGCTTTGGAGACTGGAATTTCTTACCTGGTTGCTATCAAATCACTTTCATATAATCATGATTGGTAGGAGGTCTGGGTGGGGAACGTTCTAACATAAAATCATACTCACATCACTCAAGTCCAGTGATTAAATTAACTGGGCCAAGAAATCAGCTATCTTAGTACTTGTTTCCAAAAAGCACAACTTACCTATAGACAATTCCTTTGGAATGAAGGAACTGCAGACCAAGAATGATTTCAGCAGCATAAAACCTAAGGGAAGAAGCCAAGGTTCAACATGAATGCATTAACAGAACAAAATAAAGTCCCCAAAGCTGGTCTGATGTTTTATGCATGTGGAGTGCTTGTCTAAATGGTATACACACATAATTTTGTTTAATCCTAAGAAGGAAGATGTTATCCATTCTACACTTGAGAAAATGAAGACTCAGAGCATCCAACCTCAGCCCTGAGACTATAAAACAGGTCTGGTATCTTAAGCCAGCCTCTCTTACATCTCACATTTATTCATAAACTTGAATGTCTGTACTGTCATTTCTTTGCTGGTAAAACATACAGAGATTAAATGTAATAGTATAGTATAGTAGGAAAATAGTTTTCTTCTTTATTTGAAACTCCGTTTCAAGCCCATAGACCTGCAATGTGCAGTCATTCCAAATAGATCTGGTTGGTTTATTTTTATATTGACAATATTTAGTCTGCACAAGAAATATAGTCTGAGAGGTGGAAAAAAGGATATTAGACAATGGAAAGTGATGTTACTGATCTTCAATGGTGACAGGCTTAAAGGAAATGAATGGGCATATCTCTAGTGGCATTAAGGTCAGATATAAGGGGGAGCTTCCTGGAAGTGAGGCTTGTGGGATCTCATGGATAAATGGAAAGATCTTCCTCCTGGAAAGTATTCAGAACAAATGGACAGCATGTGTCCAAGCTGACTTCACGCATTAGAGCAAGAGAGGACAGTGGGCCAATAGTTGGATCCTAACAAAAATGTCCAGTGATTTTCATGCTGGCGGAATCCCATAAAATTATCTCTGGGAGCTTTGCTGAAGATTCCTGGAGGCGATGAAAAGGGTGCAAGCTATCCCTGTGATTTGACAAAACAGCCATTTCAGCCAGAGTTTTAGTAGGACCCATGGGCCAAGACCATCTTTCAAACCATTTCAACCTAAGCCATTCAAAGGCTTCATGCAGAAGTGAGTGAAAGTTTAGTGAGCATTGAGCAAAGCACACTAGCATGTATCTGACATTTTTAAACGAGCCTGATGGCACAATTTGCTTTGTTCAAATGTCACAGTGAGTTTATACCACAGGAAGGGCTTATGGGGGACAATGTAGGCAGGTGCCGGTGGGACTTTGCCAAGGTCCTACCAGGTAGACGCAGCCTGCTTCCTCTCACAGGATTCTATTGCTGTTTGATGCCAAGGAAGAGGAAGATTTCTTTTCAAATTGACCAAATGCCTCTCCAGTTTCCTCCTTCTCATGCCCTAGAAGTGAGATGCTTTAGGCCTTTGCATTGAGCTTCCCACGAAAGGCTTCAGCTAAAAGCTTTATCCCCGGGGAGACTTTGACAATTTGTATTTCATTTGACTGCCTTCTTTCCAAAGAGCAAATATTTGCTTCTGTGCTCAATTATTTACAATTGGGGTAGTTCCTTTTGAAACTAAGTAGTTGTTTTCAAAACATGGAGAAATAAAATTGACACAGATTTCAATTTTACAAGCAGTGAAAATGATTGCTTTGTTTGGTAATAGAGTAATCCCAATGGTTTACCTGGCCCTGGGATTTAGGGATGCTGAATGAGGAGGTAAGAAAAATATCACATAGAAAAAATATTCTGTTGGTACTGGATTTGTACAAACTGGTAAGAACATGGAAACCCCTAAATCCTTTATAGGGCTCTTACGTGGCTCTGGGAAGGTCAAACTTGTGGCAACTTTGAATGTGGTACATTAAGTCTCCTCCGTTGAGATACTCCATCACAAAAAAGAGGTTTTCCTAGGGAAAAACAAAACAATCTTTACTTTTATTTCCTTAAAAATGAAAGAGAAAGAGAGAAAGAAAACGAGAAGTTTTTAGAAAATGGATTAGATAATTTCAGAAGAACCCAGTCTATCTTGAAAATTCTTATGAAAAGACTGTCAAAATAATTTAGCTGATGTATATTTTTGAACCCTAGGCATCCTGGGGACCAGAGGTGGAACATAGGGTACCATTTGCTTGTTTGCTGTGAGGTAGCCAGTGGGGTGCAGCTTAAACTTGCTTGCTGGGCCTGGGGACAGAGTTGAGCCCTTAGTGAGTGCAGATCATACAGTTGTTAAAATTGACAATTGGAGGATGGTCAAATCTGGTCCTCTGACTCCAGAAGCATACATGAAAATATCTAATCATCCAATAGTCAGTGGGTAGTCACTGATCGTGTTCTGGGGGTGAGTGAGCACAGGATTCTCAGTCCTTCTTCATCCATCAAAGTTGATGAGACAGCCCCACTCCTCTGGAGCTTGCAATCAAGCTTTGCATTTTTTCTCTCCAGTGGAGACTTCACTTGTTGCAGAGGCAAGCTGTGGTTTTGAGTGTGTTCCTCCTAGCAGAGGCCACCATGCATGATATTAGAACTAGTGCCCTTGAGAGTCACCCATCAAAATCAAGGCTGGGTGCTCTTCAGGGTGTGAGCAAAGTCAGAGGCCAATGCACTTCCAACCAGCCTGTGCTACTCAGACTGTGTGAAACAATATTTCTTCAACAGAAATAGTCATAGCTCTTTGAGCACCCTGAATTTTCAAGGGTTCTTAAGATTCGCAGAATCAGTAACCCATCGAGTGTGGAGGCATTTGGCATGTTTGTGCATGAATCTGTACCTAAAAACCTCACCTGGCTGATTTCTTTTTTAACAGAATTCACATTACATCTGGATGCAAGACTAACCAAGGCCCTGGGGCATATGAGGTAATGGTACCGTATGAAGTAATGGTCTGGGCTTAGTGACACTCACTGCCTGCTGTTTGCACTGGGTTCATCTTTCTACAAAGTAGGGAAATAAAAATATGTAACAATTATCTCAATAATTTAGGTGAAATTAAATGTCCATCTGCTCTTTCCAGAGTTGTTCTCAGATCTAATTTTCTGGTTCTAATGCTTTTTAGGGGGAGCACACTCTTGTCTTTTGTGGACAAGCCAAAATTTTCTGATGATATAAATCTTAACACTGCTTTTTCAGACATCACTTGAGAATAATCATTTACCCCATTTGTACACACTTGCCTTTTCCTTGACACACTGTATCTGTTGCTCTTGTTCCTGTAAGTACCACATGAACAGCTTCTAATCTTTACCTTTTTATCAAAACCCTACTAGCCCCACCCAAGCCACAAGGATGGTATCTTCATGTAGATACCCAGGAGAATTAAAGGCCACACACAAACAGTAAAACTACAGTGCTCAAGGGAACTGTTCTTTTTGGTGTTAGGATGCTTAAAAAGCCATATGAAGGATGAAATCTCACAATGAATACCCTGTCAATTTAGACTTGAAGCAAATGGGGGAAGGAGATTGGAGGCAAAAATTCAGCCCCATACAACATGTGCAAACTGCTCCTGCCTGTTCTCACATCTAAATTAGACTGCATATCATGGTGAGCCTTGGGGAGTTGAAGCTGCCACTAAGAGAGTCCCAGTATCCTGGGGCTTGGTACATAAGATGTCCTTATTCCATGGGAGTGAGAAGACGACTCTGTCATAGTCATTACTAATTAAACAGTACTGGAGGTTTTTCACATGTTGGATGCCACATTTAATCCCTCTAAGAGATTTGATGGCTCCACAGTAAATCCTTCAAAACAACTTGTTCTGGTTCTCATTTTGATATTAAGTCAAAGATACTGAAAAAACCCATTGCTTATCTCTTGTCATTTACAATGGGATTATGTGTCAGTTTAAGTCTTTGTAGGACAATGAGATAAAACTTGGGCTAAATACTTCTCAGAGGAGGAAATGAATAGTTCAATGCTCTTGAAACAAAGAAAAATAATAATTAGATTTCTTTCTCCTGTGCTGTACTTTGGGTTCTGGTCACCAGCTGAGTGAAAATGTAAAACAAGACTGGTGAACAGGGCAGGTGAGAGAACTGGGCTTGTGACTGGGTTAATTTTATACGACGACCTGACCACATACCAGGTGACACATTAGCTGATGCAAATGACTCTTCCAGGTGGGTGAGAAGTGGAGCTTTAGAGTCTATCAATACTCCCCTTGCACAGGATTTATTGAGTGGAATTCTAGTCTGTGAGCTAAACTGTCACTAAGTTTCATCCTATGCAAAATGAAACTCTTCATGAGACCCTGGAATAAATTCCCCTTTCCTAAGCTAAAGACTCAGCATTTATGGAGCTTCTCTTTTTCTTGGTTAAAAGAAGATTATTAAGTACATTATACTGATATTTATGTAGTGTTTCTCAGATCATAAAGTAAATGTTGGCAGAGGATATGCTGTGTTTGCAAACTTCTACTAGAGATCATTGTCTAGAAATAATGCAGATTTAAGTATAATTAAGGAATAGAGCTGAATCTTCTCTTTGAACCTTCCTCAAAGGAAATGAGAATTATAGCTTGACTCATTATGGACTACTAAAAGCTCTGCAGAAAGGTGCACAACAAAGGGCAGGGGGCTTCTTCTGTATAATCAGCCCCTGAGCATGTTCACAAGGCATTGGTTTGTACAAACACTTCTGTGTCGGGCCGGGGAGGTAGCTCAGCAGCATAGTGCCTGCCTGGCAAGTGCAAGGTCCCAAATTCGATCCCAGGACCAAAAATAAAACACTTCTGTGTCTACACAGGTATATAAGGTCCCAAGGGTCCTGGATTGCTTAAATATTTGAATTCATCCCGTGGTGGACAAAGGGTGCAAAAGCAGGATGGGTCAGAAGGGAATGTAGCTTCATGTTGTTTTGAGTAGACAAGGATGGCAAGAGAGGAAATTTTTGATTAGTCTTGGTATTTTTGTTTCTGAAATGTGCATCTCATTTTCTAAGAAGGAACTCAAGCAGATGTACTTGGAGAAAGGTATCTAAGGGAATGGAAACAAAGGAATAGATGATCTCTAGGATTTTTGCCTGCTTCTTTAGGAAGCACAGACATGGCTTTTGATCAAGTGGCTCCCTGGATAAGTGAATTTTACACTAGAGAGGTTTCCTTGTTCAACCAGGTCTTTACAGGAGGAAACACACTAAGATTTTTGCCAACCATGTTGTTGTCAAGTCAAACATACTGATTTGTAAGGTAAACATTCCTGCAAGGCTTCCTATTACTACCATGCATGGTCTTCAGAATGTGTTCTCTGAATGTCATTCCATTGTCCACTGCATTGATTAGTAAAACAATAAGACACTGAGCTCTTTCCATCCTGGTGCTGAGGTGGTTTCAGCTGGAGTGGGAGTGTACAGTTACATCAGGGCCTTTGGAAGCAGGGATTGACTGGGTAATGCTTAAGTGCCTTGGCTTTCAGAAAAACGTTCAGTGAATGATTCAATAATGTTTACTTATCAACTTTCCCACTTACAAAAACATCCCCACAGCTGCTCTGTCTGCTAAAAGTACAAAAAATGAGAGCCACAATTATTCATTACTTTGCTGTGATTTTTCCATAACTGTTTTAAAGCAATAATCAATGTCAATATTCTGTTGAAAGACATGTACTCAAACCCCTCTGGCTATTTTTTAAAATTATTTTCTTGGTGCTTTAAAATGCAAATGATTCTGGCAAAATCATTTAAATATATACAAGTATTTTTCATCACTTGGCTGATGGAACTGTATATTTTGTTTTCTTCTGTATTTCTAAAAATACGATAACACTTTGGGTGACTCTAAAACTTAAATTCTTCTATATTCATTTTCTGTGTTAATTATCTATATAACAATTTAGTTGTAAAGGTGATCTGTTTTTATGAAAGTAAAGGATAGAGTTAAAATTGTAGTTAAGAATAAAAAGTTTAAAGTAGTCTGTGAATCCAAAAACTGGGAAAAAAGGTCAATTTTAAAATAAGGAATGACTTCAGCAATTTTCAGGGCCAAATCTTTAAATCGCTCTGAGCTAATTTTAGTCCATTGTCCTGGTATCAGTCTGGGACTCTTTCTCTGCCTTTGTATAATGCTGTCATTACACTGTGGGTTGATTTGTGTGAGAGTAGAGATGGGGATTCCTTTTGGGCTGTGGACTTCCACAGTGAAGGTTTGCATCCCCACGTCTGCTGATCAAAGAGGAAGCATGCACAGATCATCTTATAGGGCTGTCTCCCAAAGCAGGCTGCAAGGCCACCCTTTTGACATTTGCCCTTTGTGGTTGTGAGAAAAGGGAGGGCTTAGTGCTTTGGTGAAGACCACAGAGCTGGGTCAGGGCTGCCCAAGCACACACTTGAAAGGTAATGGGTGGCTTGGATGGGAACAGGACTAGTAGTCCTAGGTTAGCAGACGGGACAGTGTCCTGCCAGGCATGCAAATGTCTCCCTGGTATACTTGCACACTCCATATTAGTGTGGCCACACTAATGCTGTTTCTGAGGTACATTCGTATTTAGAAGGCAATTTAGAAGGTAGAGTATCTTTTTAAAATTCTTAATATATTGAGCTATAAATTAAATCACCCTAGAAAAACAGGTTTTTTTCTTTTTCATAGGGATATATTGTTTAAAAAAACCCAGATAATCATTTGTGTAATATATATATATTACACAAATGATTATCTATATAACATATATATATATATGGAGAGAGAGAGAGGAGAGGAGAGAATGAGAATGAAGGAGAGGGACTCAGAGCACAATGATTCTCTGCAAACCAGCAGATACACTCATTAGAGCTTGTTTATATTTCTACTGTGAACTCTTCATTAGTGAAATTCACTACCTTCCACTGATTCATTAGTGTGTGTCAGAAATAATGCTCCTGAATTTCTGCAAGTCTGTGCCTTTCAACAGGGACTTGGGCTCAGTTGTTATTTACTGCC